GGCACATTTGCCGTTTCGCAGCTGAGCAAGTGCTCTCTGCGTCTCATCCAGTCTCGGCGTATCCGCCAGATCCGCCTTCACATCGTGCTGCTTCAGGCCATTCAATGTAGGCCAGTCGATCTCTGAACGGTTGTTCAAGAGACAGTCAAAGTGTTTCCGCCAGACCTGCATTATGTCTGCAGTCTGGGTGCAGGTAGCGCCTGAACTACCATCGATCAGTGTCCTCAGCGGCTCCAATCTCGGTCCATACACCGCCTTCAAGGAGTCAAAGAATTCCTTGTGTTGACGGCGTTCGGCGTAGCATTCCATCTGCTTCGCCTTCTCCGTCCACCATGCATTTTTAATGCGACGGAGCTCTCGGGTCAGTCGCCGTCGAACTTTGCGAAACTGACTCTTCTTCCCCAAGTCACTGGGGTCTGCGACATGTGCAGCAAATGCTGCATTCTTCTCTGACACCAATGCGTCAATCGTCACATTGTTGTCATCAAACCAATCAGGCCGCTTACAGTTTGCGCGCCCGATAGTCTCCTCCGCAGCAGCTGTCACCTGGTCGCGAATGTGGTGCCACAGGTCGCCCACTGTGGCTATACAGTCCACACCACCACACAGGCGTGCAGCCATCGCCTTCTCCAGCTCAGTACGTTTCGCCACAGTACCGAGGGAGAGAATGTTAAATTTACGCCGATTCACGGCGGCAGTGCAATACATAGATTTACGAAAATATATGTACAGTTTGGTCCGCACCAACTTGTGAACAGTGCCACACTCAGCTCCACGCAGTACACGTGTCATGCGCACTTCACGCATATCACGCTGACGTACGATGACATAGTCGAGCAGATGGGCATGACCACTCCGTGGGTGCATATAAGTTGCTATATCACTTGCAATCAGTGCAAACCGAGTGTTCGTGATCGTCAGGCCGTGAGTGGCACACAGTGAGAGCAGCCTGTCACCGTTCGCATTCGCCGAACCAATGCCATGCGCACCGATAACATCTGTCCACGCTGATGCATCACGCCCAACGCGCGCGTTGAAATCACCCAGCAGAAATAGTCGGTCGCTCTTCGGCACAGACCGTATCACGGAGGATAGCTCAGTGTAGAACTGATCACGCATGTCATCAGGATAACACATAATCGGACCGTACGTGCTTATGAAAGTAGCAAACTTACCTCTTCCGAGTCGTAGGCGAACAGTCATCAGCCGCGCGCTGATGCCCGTTGGTTCACCCACCAGCTGGCCATTCAGGCGGTCGGATATTGCAAATCCGACCCCATGTTCACGTGGTGCTGAGGCGGCGTTCCCCACCCAATAGAATGTGTAGCCAGCACCTGCTTCATGTAACTTACCTTGCTCAGCGTGCCGAGTTTCACTGAGCGCCGCAATATCGATGTGGTAGCGCGCCAGCTCCATTGCGACTAGTGCAGTGCGTCGCTCCGGGCGCTCGCTGGAGTTCCGGTCCAGTATTGTGCGCACATTCCAGCACCCGACGCTGAGTGCTTTGCGTGCAGGCATACGATGGCATTGGTGGGCAATCGCACGCGAGGTGGTCGTTGTGCTTCGGAAGTTTGCTTGAGGGACTCCACCCGGAGCCTTTGGCTCAATAGCCTGACCCACAAGGCAGTGGGTGGTTTGGAGGTTTGCTTGATGGACTCCACCCGGAGCCTTTGGCTCAATAGCCTGACCCACAAGGCAGTGGGTGGTTTGGAGGTTTGCTTGAGGGACTCCGCCCGGAGCCTTTGGCTCAATAGCCTGACCCACAAGGCAGTGGAGAGCAGATCCAGCTCGGGAATGTGATTGCAGAGACAGATTGGGATCTGCTTGACGGCCGTCACACGCAACCTTTGAGGTTCTGGAACAGTTATCATGTTTTGCGACCGTAATTGGATACGCACCTGCGACCACGGCCAGACGCAGGTGGGTTTTTGGCGGGTTTGCATCAATTTGACCAGGGGCTGCCTGGCTTGAGGCGGGCAGTAGCAAACCATTGAACACCCGGAGGTGTCCTCCCACCGTCAGAGACAATGCGTGGCACTCGTGCTCTACGCCAATCGAGCATTGAGCATATAACCCGTAAACCTGTTGTCTCCCATGGCTAGGCTTTACGGGAAGAGGGCCATCGACCACTTCCTAACCTCCGGAGAGGATGGACTAGGATACTGCCAGGGCGCCCAATCCTGACAGGAGAACGACTCGGGTCCTCAGCCAAAGCCTTCGATTAAATGAACACCCGAAAGGCAGCGGGTCTAGCACATGGTCAGTTAGCTGACTCATGCGGATTGTTGTCCTGGATCTTAGCAGGTAGATGGGGGAAACCCAACTCCCACCCAGCGGTCGCCACGAGGAGGCGTCCAGGACGAGAATATATATATATATATATATATATATATATATATATATATATATATATATATATATATATATATATATATATATATATATATATATATAGTCAAATGTATTCGGATCGGTATGGCCTAAGGGATCGAGTCGCCATATGTTGTACATGAGAGTCGAGACTAGAGAGGAAACGTGTAACCTCGCACGATTGCACCGGAATCCAGGAAACACTGGCCGATAACAAGAGATCGTTTACTGACTCAGTCAAAGACAAAAGATACATCACATACATCACGTATTTATACCTGAATAGTGTAGCAACGTAGTACATATACAATAGAGGAAGGTGAATGTTGATAAGGCACATAAGTTGTCAAGTAGTGACAATATCTTGAGAAAACTCATTTGAGGGCAGTGTGGCTTGGAACGAAAGATACGGCAGTGTCACTTGCGACAGCTCAGTTGGATCACCGCAACTTGAGAAGGCTGACACAGCAAGGATACTGGGGTGAGCTCAGGTGAAGT